CTTACACCGTATACGAATACAGTTTGGTTGCTGTGGCAAAGAAAACTCCTGAATGATTCAACATGCTAGCACAAAATACTCAGCTCTGAGGCGAAAGCCTTTGTGGGAAGGAGAGGCTGGCTGTGAAACCAGTCGCGTTTAGTCTACCACATTAGCTGGCTCCTTTTCTCAGGAACAGTGGAAAGGGATAGCCCTTTCCAAAGGGCAGAAGGCTAACTAAAGGGCTCCCAATTACTTCCCCGAGGGCCCGTTTCTCTCCGCTGAGTGGGGAGGAGGACGAAGCTGGGCGTTGCGAGTGTCCTTGTGGAGAGAGACCTTTTCAGCTGTCTGAAATTCAGAGATGCTGAATGCTCCCGGCTGTCATGGACATCACTTAGAGCTGGAGACGGTCAGGCTTTGAGGCACCTAACTTCTGTGCTGGGCCCTTGGCGTGTTGTATTTGAAACAGTTGCTTTTCTTCTTCTGACAGTTCTTATTTGACCTGACATACGTACCCTAAATGTGCTCTCGTCGGGTTTTGTTGTTTTTTCCCCAAGACACGATGAAGTGCTAGAGTATTTGGTAGTTTAGGGCACAGTGGCTTGGCACACTGAGGTGAGCTGCCCTTATAAACATTTAAAAAGGCAGCAATGAGAATCCTGCTAGTCTTTGTCATTTTATTTTGAAACAGATGTAGTGGTCTTGAATGAGAGTTGTAATTTGCAGTGAGAGAGTGGAAAAACCTATAGCACCTTTACTAGGTGCCTGAAAAGAAAGGTAGCTGTTCGAGAAATATGCAATAATCAAAGCCTAGTGAGAGGTGAAAGACTTGTTGCTTCTTCTTAGCCTGTGTCCTGGACTTGGTATTTGGCTTTTTGGACTGCAGGAAGCTGGTGTTACCTTCTAAGTGAACATGAGCTCAAGCTGAGCAACTGCAGTGGAGGATTCTTGCCAGGCTTCGGAGCGTCTCTGAGGTTTCTGCTCGCCTCCCGGCAGGGCTGCACAAAAGTCCTGTTACTCAGAGCTTCACTGGAGCCAGTTGAAAGCAGGTCCTGTAACTTAAAAAAAAAAAAAAAAAGTTACACTTCTATTGTCATGTGCTTATTAAAGTTGTACTAGATGAGAGTAAAATCTGAGAACTGCAAAAGAGCTTTGGGAACATGCTAGAAACCGTATTTGTGTTTTGCTAGAAGCCCCCCATCGCCTTGGTTTTTGTTCAACTCCTGATTCTGGTTCCCTGGATAGTTTTGTTTTCAACAGATTTGTATGTTCAGTAAAGAATGTGGATTTTCTTTGGACTATTTTTGTAATGTAGATGGATAGCAATGCCACAGCATGCAGAAATTGCACATTTTGCTTGATTTGCTTTGTAAAATACACTTTTTTATTTGAGAAATGTAATTTATGCCAAAAAGTCTAACATGCCATTTTGCCACTGAATAGGGTGTTTTAGCACAAGATGCAATGTCTAAGGGGGGAAAAGGCAGACACTTTATAGATTTAATTGAAAAATTGTTCCATTACTGGGCTGTCAGCATCCCTAAAACTGCATTACAAGAGATTATCTAAATTAATCATTCTGAGGAGGGAAGGGATCAATGAAAATCTCAAGATTTACTCTCCCTGTCCCGTGTGGTCTTTTTGTATTTAGTAATACGCTGCTACATATTTGGAGGTCCTAGTGTTTGTAGGTCACTGAAAAGACATTGAAATTGGATTTATATTGTATACCTGTAACATAGAAAGAAAAAGTATTTATATATTTTCCGTAAGAATATTGCATTGAGCTGTGTATAATTTAAACAGAGGCTTGTCCCGAAATGGTATTGCCCACCTTGATTTTTTTTTTTGGTGTTTTTTCTGGGTTTTTTTTTTTCTTTTTGTATAGTGTGTACAGTTCATGTCAATGGGCATTAAAAGCCTCCTGAAGCGTAATCTTATCAAAAGGGATGCATTGTTAATAAAATGTACTTAAACTTATCGTTGTTGTGGTCTCATATGTACCTCTCAGCACTAGAAATGGGTTGGAATTTTATTTATATTTGTAAGTTACTAATTAACTAGAACAACCTGAAGCTCTCAAAATAAAATTTATCAAAAATATATTTTACATTTAATGCTTTGTAAGATGTCTTATAAAAATAGAAGGGGACTCTTTAATAGTTTGTATACCATTTTTATTTTAAAAATTTAACATACTGAGAATAATTTTCTATTATGTGATGGTTTAAGTATTAGCGTTTCAACAACAGCTGTGAAAGTTGAATTAAAAAAAAATGACAGAAGTTTACAGTTTTGAACTCATTCAACCATTAATGCAAGACAGATGTCTTAAAAAATATAAAATTGTCTCCCCCGCCCATGCAAAAATACTTTTCTAATCCTCATTTCTAGTGCCCGGGCTGTACCCTTTGACTGGCACGAAGGCGTTGTCCTCCGTGGAATCCTCTGCCTGTGTGCTTTCAAGCACAGGTGGTTTCATGAAATGCCGCCCATCAGGGCCGGCAAGCAGAAGGGCGTATGGACAGAGGAGCTAACTTCTCATCGCCTCGCCAAGCAGTCTGGTACCTGGTAAAGCGTTTCCTTGCTTCCAGATAATGAAGTTTATTATCTGGAAAGAATAAAAAAAAATCTGAAGTCTATTTCTCCCAGGAAAGACCAAGGGAGCTGAGGTGGGAGCTCCCACCAGGCCGATGTGCCTCACCCCACCGCCAGGAAGGCACAGCTGGCTACGGCGCCCCCCCCCCCCTTCGTTACAGCTGTCCTCTGGCATCGGGAACTGCAGCATGTTGAAATCTAAAATGTTTTGTGGGATAGTCTGACTTTTCACTGACTTCTGTATCGAAATCCCTTAGACGTGTAACTCTTGATTCAGGATACCTTTCAAACCTTTTTAAATAAACGGGCCTCTTTTTGAAACGCACAGCTAGGAAGTTTTATTTCGGTAGTGGCAAAACGGCTCCCTTCTGTTTATTGGCCTTTTTTCCAGCAGTAAAACTTGTAAACTACACAAGTATACATGATGTGATGAAACTTTTAGAACATTTCCTTCTCCAGTCGTAAAGATACTACGGTATCAAACTTTCAGATTCACTGTAACTCAAAGGAGAGTAACGTAAAGGGAGGAAGTTTCTCCGAGATGTCTCCACGGAACAGCATCGGCCTCCTCTCTTACTTCCCTGTTCTCTGCCAAGCTGCAGCTCAGTCAAACGTGACCAGCCATGTTTCCTTACTCCACTGTCTGAAGGCTGAAAGGAAGGACCATACTGCATTTTCTTCCTACTTCTGAAGTAAATCTGTGTGTGAGCTGCACATGGACACAGCCCAGTGTGCGCTGACTGGCCACCTCTAGCCACACAATTAGCCACCTGTGTGCTTGCACCTTTGTGTGTACCTCACCTGTGCCTGCCCGAAGACTTCTCCCTCTGTTTGCAGTCAATGCTTGTCTCAGCCAAAGCCTTGTTGGTTTTCCCATCGCAACACAGCCCGTGGGCAACACAACAATAGCTATAGGCAGCAACAGCGTACAACCTAGATGTGGTTCAGTACCAAAACTCACTTCTGTCTGCAGCTGCCTAGTTTTTAGGAAGTGTGATTAGCTAGTTAAACTTAAGGAAGATGAGTAAATGCATTTTAATAAATTAGCTGAAGATCAAATTGTAAAAAACACTTCAGTTTTTCCCTTTTGAGAACTGCTTATTCTGTGCTCTTAAGTTGAATTCTTTTACTTGTGAAAGATTCCAGACAACATCATAACTAGGCAAAACCAAAGGATTCCTTGTGCGCTGAGGAGGTTAATCTGATGGGACCTTCAGATACAATTCCAACTATTCTGCTTCATTACAAATGTACAACTTTTTCAAATCAAAATGGAAGCCCAAATTCACTGCTGCCTACTGTTGCAATTCTGAGGTTACAAGAATTTTTTTTTTTTTTTTTTTTTTTAATACATGCAAAAGTAGTGTTGGAAGATCTAGCTGATGTGCAGCCTGAATATGATGTTCTTCACAAATGGGATTCATGCACCTGTGCATCTGCCTGCTTGTTTGGGGCTTGCTGTGTAAGTGCAGGGGTTAATGCCAAAAGAAGTTAAGTTCATGTCCACGAGCGGAGAGGCTGTGCCACGGTAATACCTCTGCAAATAGCTGCCCTGCTGGAAAAACAGTTCCTCTCCACTTAGCTCCCCACAGTTCTTCGTTTAGTTAAGAGGATTTTGTTCAGGATTTTCAAGGGTCATTCTTCCAGGCAGAGAAGGCAGAAGTGTGAGGAGCTGCAGTTACCAGAAGCAGGAGTGGAAGCCCACTAACAGGGGCCTGTGCTATAAAAATCTGTTGTTTTCTGCGCTCTTTCATCCACCAAATGTAGTTGGAAGACAGGTGAAGTAAAAGCAGGACGATCACTGGATTTTGGGGCACAGGGTAAGCACTCCTAGAGTTCCTTCTAATCGTTCAGTAACGCACCACTGTTGTGGTTTAACCCAGCAGGCACCTCAACACCAGACAGCCGTTCACTCACTCCTCCCCACCCCCGTGGGATGGGGGAGAGAATCGGGGGGAAAAAAAAAAGTAAAATTCATGGGTTGAGATAAAGACAGTTTAATATTACGGAAAAGGAAGGGAAAATAGTAATAATGATAAAACAATATACAAAATAAGTGATGCACAATGCAATTGATGCCCAGCCAGCTCCCGACCAGCGGTCATCACCCCCCCGGCCAGCTTCCCCCAGTTTATGTACTGAGCATGACGTCACATGGTATGGAATGTCCCTTGGGCCAGTTCGGGTCAGCTGTCCTGGCTGTGCCCCCTCCCAGCTTCTCACTGGCAGGGGATGAGAAGCTGAAAAGACCCTGACTAGTGTAAGCACTACTTAGCAACAACTAAAACACTGCTTAGCGACAACTAAAACATCGGTGTGTTATCAACATTATTCTCATCCTAAATCCAAAACACAGCACTGTGCCAGCTACTAGGAAGGAAATTAACTCTATCCCTGCCGAAACCAGGACAGCCACACTGAATGGAGGTAACCCTTCCATGTTGATGCCTTACACCATTTGAGAAAGAGAAAATACAGCGCACCCCCGCCATGTTACTGGGCTGAGGCAGACTCCGAAGCTGGGTAATGCTCCATGCACAGCTGCAGAATACACACTGGCTAGGGGCGGCCAGAGCACACAGTACGCATGGGCAGAACGCTGCAAGCAAAATACACTCCTTGAGCACAACAACAACCTACCTGCTTGTTTAACCTGCTCTTCTACTTTCTGAAAAAAATTTTAAGCTCTACAAAATACAGTAGTTCTTTGCATCAGGCTCTGAGGAACTGCTGTGATCTAACCTTCTACATAATACAGGCCATAAAACAGCCTGTAAGTCTTATCTAATGCCCGTAACTCGTGATGAAACCTTAGCACGCATCATGCCTGTGCACAAGCCAGTATTTTTAAACTTGTCCTGAAGCAAGAGCTTTGCAGCATTAACAGAAGTAGGGCAGTTGGGCTTGTGAAAGCCTTCATCAAAAGGAGAAGTTGTGGGTTTAGAAATTCTTACTTATATTGTGTAACCAAAATCTGGATGGACTCAATGGAGGACGGTACATCAAAGCCTCCTCCCTAGGCAGTGCACAGCTGTTTGTGAAATGTATCTCAGACTGGTCTTTCTGCCAGCTGTTTCTCTGGGTGTTGAGGCAGCATCTTCATTAAAAATATCAAAGTAGTAGTGTGGCTGGTACAGCATTACTGACAGTTCTGGCTTACTTGCTTCTAATGTCACCGGTATTTGATAGGGATCAGATTCAACTCCAAGATGAGAAGAATAAGCAAAATTTTCAAACCAAGTATGAGCCTGAGGTGTAGGTGTGGGTGTAAAGTCTCTCTCCCCATTTTCATTAGGGTAAATCCAGGAAGAATTGTGACCACCAATCTTATCTTCTGTTGGTGTTGAAGACAACTGACTCCATGGATGTAATTTCTGGGCTTCAGCCTTATTGTCCACTGCTAGCATGTCAGGAATGCAGTCACTTACTTTCAATACTTTCTCAGAACTGATCTACAAGAGAATAATAAAAAAAAAAGAAAAAAAAAATTACTCAATGAAAGAAGCCCAGAGTAAAGGAAAGGGGGTGATTACTTCAAGCACTTCCAATATTGTCTTATAAATTTTTTTTAGTTTGGATTTTTCAAATAAATGAACAGAATTTGAAGGAAAAACATATGTACAGAATGTTCAATGGAAGCTGTATTTTATGTGGAATTTATCACAGTATTTATTTAGAGATTTCTTTTTTAAGTAAGTTCAGTATGACTAAATTTGAAGAAGGAACCATGTCCCTCTACTTTAAAGACTTTGCCAGGTTTTTGATGTGTGCAGTTTTTAGTCTGAACCACTAGCAACTGGAAGGCAGCAGCATGGGCTGTTAGGTTGTATGGACTCCTCCCTCTGGTGCTAGTGTTCACTGAACACCAGCAGCAAAAAGGCAGCAGCCCCACGTGTGCCAGGGTAAAGACATGCTCCTAGTTCTGTGACCCCTTTGCATGCAGCATGGAAGCAGCAGCTTCCAGTTCGAAGAGCCTACAGAAGAAGCTGAAGGCCTTTTGCCAATCCTTCCTCCCAGCCAGACCTGGCAGTGCCTGGCAGAAGCCGCTGCATCCTCCCAAGGGCCAGCGAGTGCATCACACTGCTGTGCCCTACAGCAGAGGGACACGTGGGGCAGGAGGAGCGGACGGATACAGTTCACAGGCTGCAGCAAAGCACAGTATCGTCTGGTCTGTTGCGTTCGGACAGTGCTGGGTTTTCAACAGTAATACTGGAAGAATCACCTACTGTATCAAAAGATTTCATGTATTCTCCAATTATGCTTTCACTTTTTGCAGTAACAGACTGCAGAATATAAACTGATTGATCACTGGAGTCACATGAATATCAAAAGGAGGATTTTCCACTAAATGATGATATTAAATTGTGTTGATTTCTGTATAATGAGTGTAACTCATTTTTAAATGTAGTCAACACAAGAAAAATATTTTTCTGAAACTTTACTAATCAAAGAATGGAAAAATTAAAAATTCTAGGTTTTCAGTGATCTTACCTTAAACTCTTTGAACGACAGCACTTCGCTCTTGTTAGGACTAGGTATTACAGGACAGCAGCACTCCTTCACCCTGGAAATAAGAGAGCAAAACAAATGACGTTTTTGTTCTCCCATCAAAGCATATTCTGCCAGCAAAAGCCACATGTAGATGTGTACAGAAACAGCAGCAGATGATGAGTATCTCAGAAATGCCGCAAGCCAAATACTTACAACACCCACACAGCTGGACAGTCAAAGGAAAAAGTGAGTGAGGCCTTACACCAGGCTGGAAGCAACAAGCTGCAGATGTGGTTTGTGAATTATGCTAGTTACGTTCTCTGTCTACAACAGAAAAATGCACTGTAACTTACCACTTCATCTTCCAGCGGCATACAGCTGCTACTAGTGATGGAACTATCACTAGCAGGACTAGAAGGTACAGCACGTTTGCTGTGGAAGAAAAATACTTTAATAGTTTGTTTTCAACTTCTCACCTGTTAAAGTCAATATAGCCTGAGTTTCTGGAACAAAAATAACATCAAGCCCATGTGGGATACTTGCCACTAACTCAGCAGTAAAACTGTGTGGTCCGTGGTTGCAAGATAGTTTGGCTGGAAGTTCTGGGATACAGCTGTAAGTCTTTGGACCTTGATTTCCTTTAACAAAACTGAATTATTACTAGATTGCTTTTAATTTGCCCTCATATTGGCATCTTAACTACAAGGGTAAACTTCCAAAAGTTACGACAATGATAACCTCACTTAACTATTTGTTTTGGGTTTTCTTTCAGATCCCCAGAGACAACAGATTTTTACCATGAGACGTTGACAGAACATCTGTACCTCCAGTATGGATGGACTGTAGCAAGACAGCAACACTACACAAGTGTTCATGCTGTCCTAGGATTTATGCTGACACAAGAATCTCAGTATTTCCTTCTAGCTGGAAGACACAGTCTTGGGCTACCTTTTCCACAAACAGCTGAAGCTGTAACAAGCAGGTTGAGGGGCAACACGGCTTAGTGCTCGCTCTCCCTCTGCCCTGGCCAGTGCCCTCTTGCCCTGTGCCAGCGAGTTTGTGTGTCCCTACCACACACCACAGCAGGGAATGGACATGTTACATTCTCCTTTTATCTTTTCTGGGTTAATTAAGCCCCCATTTTGATTCCCTGCATGGCTGTGCCTGCACAAGAGAAGGCTGGCTAATGGGAGCTGGAACATGGGTGTAAGAGGCAGAACTGCCTCTGTGAGGGTACTGTGAGGGTTTAGACACTGTTCTGCTAGTTAGCCTAAAACATGATGTCTCCTTGCATGAGCCAATGCTTCACCCTTTCCTACCCCTCCCCCTTCATCTCCACCTCCCAACAAATTTTTCAAAACCGGGCATCTCCAATTTGGATCATAAGCTTCACAACCACGACTGCTGAGTGGTATTTTCAAGGGAACAGAACTACAGGCAAGTGATTTCCTGTTCTGCTTTGGTGATCAAATCTGCCCCGTTAGCAAACTACCATGCTCAAGCCAACAACCGCTTCTTATTGACTTCTGAAGGAGTTAACTTGGCAATGGATTTAAAGACTGATGAGAGTAAGAATCAACATTATAAGTTCAAGAGTCCATACAGAAATTACCTGTTTGCACACAGGTCTGTAGTTTTTCCCGTATTAGAAAACTAGTTAAATCCAAATGCAATTCTTCAATGCATTCTAGCAAATAGGACTCACAAGTCATGCAAATGTGCATATATTAAGCTATTTCCCAGATGTCCTGGTTTTGGCTGGGATAGAGTTAATTTTCTTCCCAGTAGCTGGCACAGTGCTGTGTTTTGGATTTAGGATGAGAATAATGTTGATAACACACCGATGTTTTAGTTGTTGCTAAGTAGTGTCTACACTAGTCAAGGACTTTCAGCTTCTCATGCCCTGCCAGCGAGAAGCTGGGAGGGGGCACAGCCAGGACAGCTGACCCACACTGGCCCAAGGGACATTCCATACCATGTGACGTCATGCTCAGTACATAAACTGGGGGGAGTTGGCAGGGGGGCTGCTACTCAGGGACTGGCTGGGCATCGGTCAGCAGGTGGTGAGCAACTGCATCGTGCATCACTTGCTTTGTATATTCTATTATTACTATTTTACTTTATTTTATTTCAATTATTAAACTGTTCTTATCTCAACCCAGGAGTTTTCTCACTTTTGCTCTTCCAATTCTCTCCCCCATCCCGGGGGGGAGTGAGCAAGCGGCTGTGTGGTGCTTAGTTGCTGGCTGGGGTTAAACCACGACACCGGAAAGATATGACTTAAATAAGGATGTAAAATTTTTTTCATTCTAAAATAAAAATAACACAGCCCCTTAAAAGTATCAAAATGCCATGTTGGTATGCACATTTCATTTCTCAGTTGAATCCTTTCTCAAGTTCATGTTACATTAAATTAAATGTTTTCCCTTGAGAAAGGAAGATTATTCTAACCTTTTAAATCATCTCATCCTTCTGCTAGAAGACAGATTTTCCACAGCCAATACTCACAGTTAAACGGTGTATCTATGTACATAAAGTTAACAATGGGAGTCTCTCCTCCACCTGTATATGCTTTAACCACTAGTTTGTATTTTGTGTTTGACAATAGGTGTTTCACGGTGTATCTCTTTTCTTCTGGGTTTTCAATTGTGTATTTACATAGCACTGAATCATCTAAAATGAAACAGATAAGATAGAATCACAGAATCACAGAATCACAGAATAGTTTGGGTTGGAAGGGACCTTTAAAGGTCATCTAGTCCAACCCCCCTGCCGCAGGCAGGGAGAGGTTTCACTAGACCAGGTTGCTCAAAGCCCCATCCAACCTGGCCTTGAACACTTCCAGGGATGGAGCATCCACAGCTTCTCTGGGCAACCTGTTCCAGTGACTCACCACCCTCATTGTAAAAAAAAATTCTCCCTTATGTCCAATCTAAATCTGCCACCTTTTAGTTTAAAACCGTTACCCCTTGTCCTATCACTACAGGCCCTGGTAAAAAGTCTCTCTCCATCTTTCTTATAAGCTCCCTTTAAATATTGAGAGGTTGCAATAAGGTCTCCCCAAAATGTTACAAATCAGCTTAACTGAGACCGCTAGACCACTAAAATAACAGAACATTTGCAAGCAGTCTTCTTTGTAATTTGCACATTTTCTTCTGAGAAGCATGACGCATCCTGACTCATTGCCACTGGGCTCAACTCACATCCCTTCTAACTGGACCATCCACAGCATTGCCCATTCTCTGGCAGACCACCTAGTAACTTGCTGTCAAAAGCTGCAACTGGTTATTTTAATTTCCTTTCACCAGAGCTTTTTAACAGAATTATTTGGGTTTTGCCATTTCCTTTTTCACCAGAATCCTGTAGCCCTTAAGCTTAGGTCAAGTTCTTTGAAGGTAATCGAAAGCAAGAAATCTCTGCCTGAAAAAAACTATTTTGCCTCTATTATGCAACTTCTAGACCCCAGGGAGAAAAGGGTTAGCTTATTCCTCCTGTTCCCAGTCACAGCCCTTGTCTGCTAGCTCAGACAAACTGGGAAGCCGGAAATCTTTGATTTAAAGGTTTTAAAGTCTAACTGGGATTACTTGCAGAATTATGGTACTTCCATGGTTATTTCTATGTAGTTACTCCTACATAAGCCTCCTTCAGTTCAAACTAAGCTTTTCAGCATGGTGCTAGTCTAATCAACAGAAGGGTCTGATACAGGACATGACCCAACTGGAAGAAGGGAGGGGGAAGGGGGGG